TAAAGTTTGTGCCTAGATTATTTTTAGAAAGAGAAAGTTGGTTGAAACTGCCAGATTTTTTAAAAAGATACAAGATAATTATGATTGTGTTCCTTCTCCGGTATTGAATTTTTCTTCCCATGATTTTCTAGAGAATGAAGATCTAGAAGTCACCAAGGTCACCTCTCTAGCAGCTTCTGCCTCTGATCCGGAACCCCATTCCTCATCCTACAGGTAGGGACAGCAACTACTTGGGATATAATGCTTCTCGGAGTTTTATCTTCTGAGATAGTAATTGATGAAAGAAGTAAACAGTGACTTTAAGGGGGAAGACAAGATGAAGTGAAGAGTATGGAGTGTTTTGTCATTAATTAATCAATCCTTAAGTGTGTTTAGGGGGAATGCAGGTCTATTTCAGGTTATAAAATTTTCTTTAACTCTCAGAGAATAGAACTGTAACAAATAGTGTAGTGTCTTCATTTATCTCCTCTTGAAGACCAGGTTAAAATGTTAAAACATTAGAAATGGATCCCAGGGACTTCCCTGGTGGCACAGTGGTTAAGAATCTGCCTGCCAATGCAGGGGACATGGGTTCGATCCCTGGTCCGGGAAGATCGCACATGCCGTGGAGCAACTAAGCCCGTGTGCCACAGCTACTGAGCCCGCACACACACCACAACTGAAGGCCATACACTCTAGGGCCCGTGTGCTGCACCTACTGAGTCCGCATGCTGTAACTACTGAAGCCCACGCGCCTAGAGCCTGTGCTCTGCAACAAGAGAAGCCACCGCGATGAGAAGCCCGCGCACCGCAACGAAGAGTGGCCCCTGCTTGCCGCGACTAGAGAAAGCCAGCGCACGGCAGCGAAGACCCGACGCAGCCCAGAAAAAAAAAAAAGAAAGAAAAAGAGTGTCCACAGATGGACTTTCAAGAGAACATGTGTTTGGTTTTTACCCATAAAATGCACACACACACAAACACAGTGTTGCAGCCACGATGATGATCTTCAGGTTGTCATTCTTAATTTCCCTCTCCACCCATCTCATCCTCCTGCCATCACTGATATCAGAGTATATAGCAGAAAGGGAATAGTAGTACTGTGCCCTAGAATAAGTGGAAGCCACAAAACATTAATGGAATAATTAATGAAAAACTTATTTTGGAGAATGCTGAGCTAGTGAATATTATAGTCCAACTGATCAGCTCATGGTGCAGTACCGTCCAGTAGAACCTGTGGTCTCCATGCCCCACCCAAAGTTGATTGCTGGGGGTGGGGGTATGTTAAGATTTCTTTTTCTTTTGGCGATGCCACACGGCATGCAGTATCTTAATTCCCTGACTAGGGATCGAACCTGTGCCCTCTGCTGTGGAAGCGTGGAGTCTTAACCAGTGGACCACCAGGGAAGTCCCATGATATATTTAAAATGTTATTTCTTAAGTGGAAATTCTCTCTTCTTACCTTTGTATATGAAATAAAACTTTTTCCCCCAGAATTCAGACAATGGAAAATAATAATAATTAATATAATTTTAATACAGTTTGTGATAATAATATAATAGCCACCCTTTATTGAATGCCTCTTTGTAATAATGATAATAAAATAGTTACTTTTTATCAAATATTTCTGTTCGTTCAATACTGTACTAGGTGTTAAAATGTATTATCTCAGTTAATCCTCGTAACAAACCGAATAAAGTATTTTCTTTAAGATGAGGAAAATGAAACAGTGAATTTAATAATTTTCCCAAGTTCACACAGCTTTAGTTTTGTTTACTCTACAGCTTATTTCTCATAAGTAGCAACAGAAGGGTTTTGAGTTCTATGCTTAGAGCTACTAGGTTATTACATATAAGGATACTTTTAGAAGACATAGCCTCCTCCAGGCATTGATTATTTGAGATAATTCATGTTCTCGTCAAATCCTGTGAGAAGAGTGTCCTTCTGTCCTTCCGTTTTCCTACCACCACGCTTTTTCTGCACGTGTTGATTCTTGTTTGTTTGTTTTGTGGCCATGGCCCGTGGCATGCGGGATCTTAGTTCCCTGACCAGGGATCGAACCCCTGCCCCCTGCAGTGGAAGCGCAGAGTCTTAACCACTGGACCACCAGGGAAGTCCCTGCACATGCTGATTTGAAGGATCCTTGGGAGATGGCTTTTGGTACAGAGCTGATGTTTTCATACTAAGAGTAAATAAATTTTTTGAGTGAAGAATATAGACTATTCTTAGAAAAAAGGAGATAAAAATTTCAAGTTTTGTTTCTAAAATCTGATGCGTGAAGAAAAATAATCCAGCATGCATGACGCCTGAAGTCTGGTGTTTGTGTTTTGTATATTTTAGAAATGGAAACGGCATGACTCTTGATCTTTTCTAGTGAGGCTGGCTGGCCAATCTCTCCCTCCCTTTGGGATGGCCTCCCTGCTCTGGGTTAGCATAAACCAGAAGGCTTACAGTGAGAGTTTTTCCTTTACATGGTTTATCATCTGCATCAAGTGATTTGCAATTTATCTTTCCCAAAGTACCTTTCACTAATTCTTCAGAGCATAAAATGCTAATGTGAATATTAAATTTATGCGTGTCCTGTTTAAAATATTTTTTAAATAAGCAGAACCATATTTGTGCAAAGTAGCATGCACAAAGGCAAAGAAGAAACTACATTTTAGCTGCCATATACAGTAAGGTCAGGCTGCTGGTCAGATTAACTATTGTGTTCTCACATTCCGAATAGTCCTCTTTTGTTCCCAAACAAAAGTTAACTTATTCATTTATTCATTCAACAGATATTTATTGAGAGCCTGCTATTACCTGGCAGTGTTCTAGGCACTGAAGACACCACAAATGAACAGACAATCCACATCCCGGGCCTCATGTAGCTTATATTCTAGTGGGGGAGGTAGATGGAAAAAAAGTATACATCGTATTTCATAGAATCTATGTTGTCATCAACTATAAGATGTACTGTTATTTTATATACCACCAAGAAAGGAAAGAATGCCCAAGATAGGCTAATAAGAGACCTCCCGCAAAAGCCTGCACCTTCAGTGAAAAGAGAAACGAGGAAAGAGATTGCTCCACACAGAAAAGGAGAGCAGGGCAACTTGAATGTCTCAACCTTGGCGCTGTGTAAGGGGGGAAAAATACCTCCCCTGAGAATATGAGCCACAAGTCTGTTGTGTAAATTCACTCTGCCAGTGTGGTCCAAACAAAACTCTTAAACAGAACATAATTCAAGTCACCTCAGTTGGTAGCATTCCCAAGCCCTGGCAGAAGCAAATGCAAATCCCCTGAGGAGGGATTCCGTGTCACTCCAGGCCCACGGCAGTTTTTAGGACATCCTGTATTTCAGTTGTATTAAAATCTGAAAACAAATATGCATCTCGCAGTCAACAAAATATGGTGCATAATGTGTCAGGCAGTCATCAGTGCAGTGAAGAAAAATGAACAGGGTGTAAAGAGTGATGAGCCAGGGAGGGGAAGCCTCTCCCAAAGTGATGGCTGAGCAGAAACCTGAAGGATGGAAGGAAGCCCTGAGTAACTGGGGGAAGAGTATTCTAGGCTGAGGCCATAGCAGGCCCCCAGACCCTCAGTGGGGGAGTGCTTGAGGTGCTCGAGGACTCTCAGAGATTCAACAGGCCATTGTGACTGGCGTGGACTGGGCAAGGCAAGAGGAGGTCATTCTAGGAGATAAGGTCAGAGTGCAAAGGGCCTCAGGGTTCCATGTGACAAGCTTGGCCATGGAAGCTGTTAGTCTAGAGGGAGTGAGACCCAGTCCCTGCCATCAAGCTCACCTCCTAATAGAGGAGGAGACATAATAAGTAGTGCCAAGGAACCAAAATGGGCTCTAATTTCTGGATTTAAGAGAATAAAATAGGCTCACAGCCTAGACCAATTTACAGTTCACACAGAATAATCAACCACAGCTCTGATTTTCATAGTAACTACCTCTTGTTTGTTCTGAGGTCAATTGGAGTGACTTAGATATTCCAAAAGATGGCTCTGTTTTATCTGAAGAAGAGGTAATTTATAAACTAGGAGTGATCTTTCTTGTTTATGTTAAAAAAGAAAGAAAGAAAGAAACTAATGAACTCCAAAATAAGCCCTCTGTTTCCCCGTGCAGTTCGTAGTGCTGTTTCCCAGTTGTTTGCTCAGCCTGTCTGAGGAAATGGACGATACCCTAAAGCAGCAGTTCTCAAAACTTTACACTCTTAAATTTATTGAGGACCTTAAAGAATTTTTGTTTATGTGAATTATATCTTACAATGTTTACTAGTAATTAAAACTAGAAAATTAAAAAAGTTATTCATTTAAAATAATAAGGAACTCATTACATGTTAATATAAATAACATGTCTTTAATGAAAAACAATTGTTTTCCAAAGAAAAAATAATTTAGTGAGAAGAGGGATGTTGTAAATCTCTTTAATGTGTGTCTTAACAAAAGACAGTTGGACTCTCAGATCTGCTTCTGCATTCGTTCTGTTGTGATATCATATGTCATGTAGTCTCTGGAAAACTCCACTGTAAACTCTTGAGAAGATGAAAATGAAAAAAGGCAAATAATATTTTAGAATTATTATGAAAAGGTTTTGACTTCACAGACTCCCCTGAAAGAGTCTTAAGGACGCCAGGGGTCCCTGGACCATACTTTGATAACTGCTTGTCTAAAGACTCCACGCCACCTTTTGTTGGCAACAGACTTCCAAGAAGCCTGGGGTATTGTGCTACAGCCCCGGCTCTTAACTCACTTTCTGGTCTCTCCAAAGCCAGAAGAAATGGAAGAGAGCATAAATTATTCCCTTGCTTCTTTAAAATCAGCTATTGGAATAGTGGTTTTCTTTTTTTTAATTTTATTTTTGGCTGCGTTGGGTCTTTGTTGCTGCATGCGGGCTTTCTCTAGCTGCGGCGAACGGGTAGGTGCGCGGGCTTTAGTAGTTGGTGGCACGTGGGATCAATAGTTGTGGCGCATGGGCTTAGTTGCTCCATGGCATGTGGGATCTTCCCGGACCAGGGCTTGAACCCGTGTCCCCTGCATTGGCAGGCGGATTCTTAACCACTGCGCCACCAGGGACGTCCCAATAGTTGTGTTTTAAGTTATTGGGATAGTAGATTAACGTGCTTAAAAAAGTGAACTGGGTGTGCTATGGATATCAGTGATAGGGTGTGAATGGAAACGCTGAATGCTCCTGGGATAAGGCGGAGAGGGTTGCCTTGCTAATCAGTCTGTACTTCCTTTGTTTTGTGATCAGCTTCTGCCTTAGGCGAGGCCTCCTCCCTTTGCTTCTAACAGCAGCTTTATGTGTGGAACAGACCTGGGATTCTAACTCTTCTTTTGTTGAAATTCTGTGCAGAGCAAATGGCATCGGTCCCAGACTGAGGAATAAAAACCAGACCTGCGGTCTATCTCAGATGACTGAGCTGTGTGTTTACCGTGGTTCTCGGAGCCTGGGATGTGGTGTTGTCAGTCCTGAGCCCTCACATGCTGTCACTGCTTCATTGTAGGCCATTTCAGCCCTGGGCAGTGGTCAGCTGAAATGACGGTGGGCCCAAATGCCAGAGGAAACAGGGGTTGGGGGTACCCTTTGAAGGTTGTTTTTCTTTCTGAGTTTCTCCAGGACCATTGTGCCTTTGAAAAGAGTCCTTGAGGGGAATTCCCTGGCGGTCCAGTGGTTAGGACTCCACGCTGTCACTGCCCAGGGCCCCGGTTCAGTCCCTGGTTGGGGAACTAAGATCCCACAAGGGAACTAAGATCTCACAAGCCGCACGGTGTGGCCAGGGAAAAAAAAAAAGAGTCCTTGAACTGACATGCTCTCTTTCTCTGGGAGGCCACAGATGGTATCTCCGGTGAGGGAGGATGCCACAGAAGATCAGCAGAAGGCAGCCAGTGCCATGGAGGCACAGGCCTCGGTGGAACAGGAATTGCTGTCTGCAGACCAGGCCCAGGTCCTCAGCAAGGTAGGGCGCACATTCTTACTCTCTCTCTGAAAAGCACTAGTTTGTGACAACAGAATTCAGATGCATTTGGGTGGGTTGGAATTAGAAAGCACTGTCATCTCAGGTTTAATTATTTGGGGAATGATCATGTGTATCCTCCCCAGGGCCCATCACTGTACTAGGACCCAGTAAGCATCTATTCAAATAATGAAGTGTTATAATGAATGTTCCCATGTTGTCTAAAATCCACTTGATGTGAGGAAACTTCAACCATTGGATTATGTGTTAGTCTCAGTTTTCTTGTGGTAGATCTACTCGGTATTTATGGTAAAGATTCCATAGAAATGGTACCAGTAGTAGTGGTCTCCCTGCCATGGAGGGATGGGTTGTTCATACCATTATTAACATATATATTAGAATAACAAATGGTGTCAGTAAAGACAATGCCGAACATTATAGTTACATTTGTATGATGCTTTAGAGTTTACAAAGCATTTTTATCCATAATACGTCATTTACTCCTGAGAACAACCCTGTGAGATAAGGTACCATTATGTCCCCAATTTAAAGATGAGGAAACTGAGGCTCAGAGCTGTTAGTGACTTTACCAAGTCTATGCAACTAATAAGTTGCAAACTAAATCTTTTGTTTAACCTTCTGTAAGAGGAAGGACTCATTCAAGCAAGTTAGTCAAAGTCTGATTTACCTCATTTAACATTGGAAATAAGAGCTGAAGAACTTAACTCTTCAGAAACAGATATTATGAGAAAATAGTCTGGGAGGATTACAGCATTCATTTATTCATTCATTCATTTATTGCAAATATAAGTCTGATTCCTTAACTGGACTGCTGTCTCACTGATGTGCTCTTCCGTGTTGGCAGTAGGGTGTAAAGTAGTAGTACATTTCTTCTTGAGTTGCTTGTCAACTGCTTGGAGAAGGGGCAGGAAATTAAGTCATAATAGCATGAAATAGGGGAATGGTAATCTGAGTGGTTTGAAGTGAAACCCACTAGGGAGAGACTGCAGGCTCCTGCCATGGGTCAGTGAGGGCTTTGTGAGTATTGGGTGATATTTGCACTTACATGCAAGTTAGATGTCAGGCAGCAAATATACTGTTTAAATGCAAATCCTGGGGCTGGTCTAAGGTGAGATTGTGATTATTTATACAACATTGTTAGTGAATGAGACAACCTATAGGGTGAGACATCCAAGGTGTGCCATGGGTGAGAGAGAGAGACAGAGACAGCCAGAGAGTAGGAGCCAGATTCTCTCTCTGCAGTACTTTGGTGAACTGATTGACAGTGACCTGGAAGTAACCTGTGGATGGAAATTGTAGCAGGAGGATGTGTGGCCGAGTGAAGGTTGAGCTAAAGCCCAGATGCAAGAGCTGTCCTGAGAGGAGCTGAAGGGAGAGACTGTGCAGGCATGGCCCAGAAACGCTGCGCCCAGAAATGCTGTCGATGGAAAAGTCAGTAGCAAATTTTGAGGGTGATCTTGGGCAAGGATTTTATGAAGGGTCTGAAGTGGGAAAGTTGCAAAAAGCAGGAGAGAACAAGAAAGAAGCTTTAAACTGGGGAACATGTTGATGGCATTAAAAAAAGTGGGTAGAATTTATTAGCAACCTGTGGCTGGAGGAGAGAGCAGGAATGTTGACTAGCACTCAGACTGTGAGTTGGGAGAGTGGAGGTAATAGGGCAGGGGAGGAAGCCTTCAGGTGGAAAGAGGCTAATTGGAATCTGCCTTTATATATGTCCTGTAACCAGAGTTCTCTTGTGCAGATGGCCAAGTACCATGGTCTGCCAAGGTCTGGGGACATCGTTATGATCCAGTCTGAGCACACAGGAGCTGTAGATATTCTTTCAGCTGATTTGGAATCTGCAGACCTTCTGGGGGACCACAGGAGAGGTGAGACCTTTGGGGGTGTGGAAGGTGTTTTTTTTTTTTTTTTGGTTCCCAGTGGGTACTTAAAGAAAGGCAGGCAGACAGATGGAAGGAAAGAAAGAAAGTAAGGAGAAAGCATAGGATTACATAGGTGATTATATTACAAAAGAGGAAAAACAGCTAGTATCTGAATATTACATTCTGGATAGAGTACCAGGTATATATATGGTACGTAAAGAGACCTATTTCTTAAGCTGAGTAGCTGACACACCTCAGGGCAGTGCTCTCTCCTTCCTTGTGAAAAGAAGTCAGGGAAGCCAGTAGGAAGAATGTCTTCGACTATGGCAACCTCCCTAAGCAAAATGCCGGGTGTGGCAGCATTTCCTCCGGGTCTCTTTCTCGGTGGTGAGCTGCCTGTCCTTTCAGTCTCCCCGCCTCTGATAGCACCTCCGTGCATCTGGACCTTTGCCAAGATGAAGGAATTCAAAAGCAAGCTGGGCAAAGAGAAGAACAGCCGTCTGGTGGTGAAGCGGGGTGAGGTGGTGACCATCCGGGTACCTACCCACCCAGAGGGGAAGCGTGTCTGCTGGGAGTTTGCGACCGATGACTACGACATTGGCTTTGGAGTTTACTTTGACTGGACCCCTGTAACCAGCACTGACATAACGGTGCAGGTCAGTGATTCCAGTGAGGATGAGGATGAAGATGAGGAGGAAGAGGAGGAGATTGAAGGTAAATTTAATTTTAACATAATCTGCAGTTTCCTTTTCTGTCTCAACCTAATTTGCAGCGATCACTTCCTGTGTTGTACCAGTCGTCCTCTTCCTGAGAATGCAGGTGAAGAATCCCTTTCAGCATGGCAAGCTAAGTTGAGTGATGCAGGTCAAAGTCAGACCCTCAAAGAACATTCTGGTGGGGTGGCTTTGATGCCTTAGTGGAAAGCTTCTTTTCTTTTTAATCAGTACCTAGCCATGTCCCCCAAGATCTCCTTGGGGACAGGGATAGTTTGGGGGCAGGAAAAGGGGTGGATCCGTGCTGGTGTACGTATGGGCAGTGTTTTTCAGATCACATGTATAAATCTGAGATTATTTTATGTTTCTCTCTTACTTGTGGGATATTTACATTTATTCTTGGTCTGGAACCAAACTGAGTGATTACAATTTGCTTAATGTACCCATTCTCTCCGCCCTCCAAACTGTCACAGCTGGTTGACAAGAGCAGTTTTAAAAATAGTCTCTGTGTTCTGTTCCAGCCGTTACTTGCGGCGCCTGCTCACATGGCCCTGAAGCCGCTTTTTTCTGTTTGTTTGTTTTGTAGTATAAGAGTAGGTTCTAAGCATTAGCCTTATTCCTTTATTTTCCCGTATAATCTTACGGGAAAGATTAAGTCATTAAGTCATTCCCTTAACTTGCTTCTTCATGGAAAAGCAAGTCTGCAGGGAAATCTGCATGTGTTCAGGAAGGAGGAGAACCTCAGATCTTATTTGCTGCCCTTCCGGGGGACCAGTAGGAGTTCGGGGTCACTCCATATAGCACTTTCAGCATTTCAGCACTTTTCCACATTTCCTACCTCCTTTAGCTAGTTCTTTTACCTGTTGGATGAAAAGATGTCAGAATTTTCCCTTCTAAGTATGTTTTTCTCCCCCTTGGAAATTTCCAGATACTCTTGGAGCTAGGAAGGCTCTATAAGGCTAAATCACTGTTTCTCAGTGCAGATACTATTGGCATTTGGGGTGAGACACTGCTTTGTTGAGAAGGTACTATCCCTATATTTAGCACTCCTGGACCCTTGAGCACTAAATGCCCGTATCACCCACTGGTCACTCTGATGGCCCGAAGGCCACCAGACATTTCCAAATGCCCATAGGAGGGCAACAGTATCTCCCCTGGGTGAAAGCCACTGGGTTACCTGGTCCATCTTTTCACCCTCAGGTAGGCGTATTTGGTCTCTGAACTCATATCCAGGCACTCTGCCTTTTGCTCATGCAGACCCTGTCCCAGCTGGAGACGTGGAGCGAGGCTCCAGGAGCTCCCTGCGGGGCCGCTATGGGGAGGTCATGCCCGTGTACCGGCGGGACAGCCACCGAGACGTGCAGGCCGGCAGCCACGACTACCCTGGCGAGGGCATCTACCTGCTCAAGTTCGACAACTCCTACTCCCTGCTGCGCAACAAGACTCTCTACTTCCACATCTACTACACCAGCTGAAGGCCCGCTGGGACAGGGGGCAGGCGGTGTTTGCTGGCTGGAGCAGGCTGCCAGCTGGGGCCTCTTGTTTTGGATAGGCAAGAGCTCCCGACCCTCACGCCCTGGCTGGCGTGCCTGACTGTTGACCCCATGTAGCTTTTCCCCCACCCAGGCTTCTGCAGATGGTGGTATAGTGCCCCTGTTCCGTGGTCCCTGACTCACGCTCTTCTGGCTTTAGACTCCAGCAAAATCTCTCTGTGGAGGAAACCATCAGGCAAAAGCCTGAAAGGAAGTTGGGTGTTGCGTTTTAAATATAGTTTTGTTTTGGTACAAGGTGTATTATTTCAGTTGCTGTTCTCTTCTCTTCCAGAGCTTTTATTGCAGATGTGTTTAGTGGCACCCACTCTCTTCACTTTTTGAAAGGGCTGGAAGAGAGCAAAGCACATTGTCCATGAAGGAGCCCAGTTTCCTGGATGGAGAAAGCTCTGTCCAGCCTCTCACCACTGCCATATTCCCACCTGCTGTTTCTTTGTGGTCTCTAGCACAGGCTGGGAGCCCTCACTGCCTCTGGAGGGGTGTTATTAGTCCTAGTGGTTTCACTCCACCTCTTTCTCTCCTCTTTTCCCTTTTCTAAGTCTGTGTCTTTGCCATTACAGCAAGAACTTCCATGCAATCCAAAATGATGATCACTGTAGTCTAAGGTCTTCTGGGAAGAAAAACTGCCTCCAGTTTTTCACTTCCTATTTCAAGATGCACTGGTGGTCGAAGGGGAAAGGGTAGAAATTAGGTACTGGATTGATGTCAGAACCCACATTTTTGAAAGTCAAGTATTACTAAATTATTTTTTTTTGTATAATCGAAGAAGGAGGGGTACAGTCTGAGAGAGGATGTTAAAAAAACAAATAAAACAACACTCCAGATTTCCCACGACTGTTTTTTTTTTTTTGGTCTTTAGGAGTGTTATTTAGAAATTTTGCTTTGGAACTAGTCATATTTCCAGAGTTTCTGGATTTAGGTTTCTTGCGTTGAGGGCTCAAAACTTTTGGTATTCAAAGTCTCTCAGGAAAGGTGATAATGAAACTTCACTGTTGCTGCTGGTGTATTTGTTCTTTAGTCCCTGGCGACTGCATTTTCCACCCTGTGGGCCCTGAGGCCCAGGGTGCTGCAGCCAGTGTCACCAGAGCAGGGGGGTGCCCAGGGCCCCAGCGGAGGAGGGGGCAGAGAAGGGACCACTGCGATTATCTGTACCTCCTTCTTTCTTATCCCTTGTGTCAAGCCTGTTACTGCCTTAGGATTTTGAGGAATAATTAGATTTATTTATTACTTTATTTATTTTTAAAGCACATTTCATTTTGCCTTTGAGACAGTTTCCGTCTGTTTCTCAGAAGGCTTCCATCTGCTCTGAGCCATTGAGGGCACCTCTTCTGTGGAGTTAAAGCTGGCGATTTCAGGAGAAGTGGGGAAGGGATAATGTTCCACTCCTGCAGGTCAGTCCTGTAATGCTTTGGGAGGAGTCTGCCCCTTCTCAGATGGATGGATTACGCCAGCTTACCCCAGCGCTCCCTGTTAGGAATTCTAGATTGTGAGGGAATCTGCCCATTTGCCCCAGATTGTGCAGAGGACTTGACTAGCCAACCAGAGGCAGCCTGTGATTCTAGGACTTCAAAGTCCTTTGCCTGCTCTGAGGAGTCAGCTTCTTCACGATGTTTCCTTTAGCTCATTCATTCCTTGTGTGGGTGCCTCACACCAAGTTTTCCCTCTGCACAGAAGCAGAAACTCAAAGAACAGGGCTTCTCACAATAGGTCTGTAGTGGCACCTACGTCATGAACAAAGGGTGATACAGCCGCACCTTCTGTTCCTCTGGGGGCAAAGCCCCAAGTAGGAGAGGATGCTGTGGACCACCATAGCATCCGCCTCCTCTGAGCGGCCTCATACCTCCATTATTTTATATTTGAGTGCATTTTATAGAGGATTATACTGGCCCAAATTTATATACCTTGTAAGAAGTTAGAAATTATTTTAGTGACTGCCTATTTGGGCAGTGAAAGCAAACTTGCTCTGCGTCATCCCATCTGGTAACTGTATGACTGCTCTTTTCATCACTGAAGTTGAATCACGCCTTAGCTAATTGAGTAGAATCTTTATAAAATAATTTTCTACTGAGCTGTTCTCCAGTCAGCTAAAGCCTGGCTTATTTTTCCTGTTTATTATTGACTTCTGACATTCTCTTAAAATGGAGCTGTCAGGCCATTGGAAGCTCCCTGGGATAACATTTATTGTTGTTTATTTTTGCCATCAGAGCCTGTACTTACTTTCTTTGGAATCCTAGTTCTGTTGCATCAAGGAAGCCTGAGGGACTTGTTCCCATCGCCTCTGTGTGCCTCTCATTGTCTGGTCCCTTTTGAAGTCCTGGACATTGTTACATTTCATTCTGTACTGGTGTGTCATTAACAAGTCAGTGCTTCTTTGATCCATTCACAAAAAATAGGTAAATTAATTCACCATCCAATTAATTCACTATCCTATATTAAGTATCTGAAATTAGTGAACTTTAGGGACAAAATATTACTTAACAAACACAGGTAATTACTGAGAATTTCATAGTCCACCAGACCCTAAGAGGTAGTCACTTCCTTAGTCTCTCCCTATCTGAGTTTACAGAACCAAACAATCAAATGAAAATCATTGCTTTCACCTTCACGGTCTTCTTTAGAGGATAAATAAGTATTAACATACAATGGAAAGAAGGTACTTCACAGTAGGAGAGAGCCTGGAAGTCTCTCCACAGAGTGGCTGAGTTCTTAAGTTTCTTCAGTTTGTTTAGTTTTGCTACTTTGTTGAGAGACGGGGCTTTTAGAAAGTTTAGAGTATTAATTTTTCCCAACATTTTACTTTAAAAAATTTTCAGCAAACAAAATTTAAAAGAGGGCTTCCCTGGTGGCGCAGTGGTTAAGAATCCGCCTGCCGGGCTTCCCTGGTGGTGCAGTGGTTGAGAGTCCGCCTGCTGAGGCAGGGGACACGGGTCGTGCCCCGGTCCAAGAAGATCCCACATGCCGCGGAGCAGCTGGGCCCGTGAGCCATGGCCGCTGAGCCTGCGCGTCCGGAGCCTGTGCTCCGCAACGGGAGAGGCCACAACAGTGAGAGGCCCGCGTACTGCAAAAAAAAACAAAAAAAGAATCCGCCTGCCAATGCAGGAGACACAGGTTCGAACCCTGGTCCGGGAAGATCCCACATGCCGTGGAGCAACTAAGCCCGTGCGCCACAACTGCTGAGCCCGCGCTCTAGAGCCTGCGAGCCACAACTACTGAAGCCTGCGTGCCTAGAGACCATGCTCCGCAACAAGAGAAGCCACCGCAATGAGAAGCCCACGCACCGCAACAAAGAGTAGCCCCCACTCTCTACAACTAGAGAAAGCCCGCGCACAACAATGAAGACACAACACAGCCAAAAATAAATAAGATAAATTTTTTTTAAAAAAAGAATGTTTAAAAAAAATTTTAAAAGAAGTATATAGTAAGCACCCTTATGTATATCCAGCACATAGATGTTAAAATTATAAACTGCTAATTTTTAAACAAAGATGATTCTGCCATTCTGTTCCTTTTGACAGGTATTCAATAGAGTATGTTCCCTGCACAGACATAAGCTCTCCTATGTCAGAGAGCTCCTGGTTTATTAGCAAAATTATTTCATTCAATGCCAGTTACCTGGGGAGGTGGTCCTCATAAAAATGTTTCTTGGTCTCCATCTTTCAAAACTCATGCTGTATTTCCTCTCTCCCTCAGGCTATAATTTCTAATGTTTTCTTCTCTACCTGGCATGTCAGAGTGAAGGTAATTGTGAAACTGCTCTGGAAGGACTTTATTCTAGTCTCTGTTGCTTTCCAACACATCCTCAGGACTCTGAAATTAAAACTCAATCCTCAGATAATATGTAGCTTTAAAAGGGAAGTAGGTAGCAACTTGAAATTAGGCCATTCTTAGTTATTTTTTTCTTAATTGATTCATGCACTTTAAAAATATTTTTATCTGTTATTTAGGAAAGAAAACCTTAGACTTTTAAAAAGTATATATTATCCCTTATAATATGTATATGGAAGAGTTAAACCTGAAAGCTCACTGTCTTATCTTGATCACTGGGTTTAGATATTGTTGTAAAACATCATTTAGAGAAAATACATGTTTGCATGTTTTTGATGAGCCCTATCCAGTCCCTCTTTGAAAGAATTAGGTGAAGCCCAAACGCTAAAGTCTGTATTTTTGTATTTATTTTAAGACTGCTTTTCTGCAAAAGGTTGCCTTTTAACCCCAAAGTATAAGGTTCTAAGGTACAGAGCTGAGTGACCCTAATATTTACACAAAAGGCTATTGTTTTAGAGGAAGGGGCAAGAGTGAAACAGTTCATGCAGCTTGTGAACTGACTTTTTATATTGATAGTAAGGAATGAAAACAATGAGAGGAAGAGAGAAAAGCTATCAAATGTATCCCAGAATTCTGCGCATATCCTGATTTTGTGTAGTTCTTTAGTTTGCATTTCATCCGTTGGAATTGTTCTTTAAGCCAGAAGCCTCACTGGTTCTCACTGTGCTTGTTGGAGAAATCCCAAACCTACCTGTCTTTTCCAACAGGATCGACTTTAGAAATATTTTTCAGTAGGTCTCCTCTGCTAAGTGTAATCCTGACCTGAAGATTGATTTCATCTCTATATTCTCTGAGACTTGTGAGTCCAGTGCCATGAAAAAAGATGGTGAGTTTAGAAAGTGGCTAGGAGGAGTTCCAGCTGTGTCACTGGAGCCTCAGTTGGTTTTGACTATGGCTAAAAAGGGATGACACAGGTTAATTTTGACCAACATCCCAGAAGAGCCTCAAGCCACAAGACTGTGTTTGTGAACAAGCTCTGCCCTCTGTAGGCTGACTTCCCTGTGAGGTGTAGGAATCGCCATCTTCTTTAATCTGTGTGGGACAGTCATACACACAGCAGGCAATGGGACCAACCAAACAGACACAGTTTGTCCTTCCTTTTAGAGCTTCCATTTAGAATTTCTCCCGGGTCTAAAAGGTCCAAATCAACCACTTTAACTAGTCTCTCCACCTGGCCAAAAGTGTAGACCTTTTAGAAACCTGAATTTGCTAGAAAAGGAAAGAGCACCATCCATGTAGAATCTCAGTGGTTGAAAAGGGAAAGCGAGTTTCTGTCTGAAGGAAGGTGATTTCATTTTTTGTTGTTGTGAGGGGTAGCTTGTTAAGGGATTTATGCTCCTTAGAGAGCAAGTCATTGTATTCATCGTATTTGATTGTGCCCACGGAGCCATGATGCCTGATTCTTCGGGGAGTCAATAGGGAACAGGTGTCTAAAGCCAGTCGCAAGTTGGGTGCTCCCCAGCAATCCAGCAGATGATGACTGTTCCTATGGCCAAAGTCCCAATTCTCATGCACATGGGATCCTGTCCCTAGGCCTTCATTTCCACACAGCTGAGAGGTAAAGAGAGGGACGAGGCCCCCCTCCACTTCTCTCATTTATAGTATCGTTTAGCACTGGCAGCATGGTATCCAAGGCCTCAGTTTACCGGTTAATCAGAATTAAATAATAACATGAGTAGATAAAGGCGATCAACCTAGGTTGGAAGTAGGGCTGAGGAGGGATTATGACTTATAGTCCCACATTGGGGTAGCTGGGTAACTCGTGTATGACTGTGTGGTTGGAACGCTTATTAACTTTACCAGGTGAGTGCAGAGGATGTGATAATGCTATGCTGATGAGGACGACAAATTAATTGAGTTGGCTAAGAAACAGAGCAAGGCCTCCATCTATGGGAAGTAGATTCTGTCACCGGCTGTGAGTGGAATCTCAGAGTGAGCGTGAGCTCTGCAGGTTCTCAGAGTCTGGCTTCAGAGCCCACTGAAGGAACCAGTCTTCTGTGGGCAGTGAC